ATTTTCTAATTTTCATTAAAAATTCAATTGTGCTTTGAGATAGTCTTGAATTGTGTGATTTTTTTTTTTGTTTTTCGACCACATGCATTTGTAGATACATACATATACAAAAATGAAAAGGAACAGGAACTACGAGCGTTGCATTGTGTGGAAAGTGGTGCGATACTTTAAGGCGCCTAGTTGTGAAGTTAGAAGACTTGGTTGCCTGAAGCCCCGGAATTTCAGAACTGAGTAAGAGAATTTTCATACAATATTATGCACACATAACCGCGTCAGGACCTAGATTTACACTGATGTACATACGTATGTAGAAGAAAACATTAAATAGTTTTTTTATAAGTGGGGATGTTTTTTAGAAGTAAATATTTAACTAAACGCGCAAAAACATTGGGCGCATAGAAACAAAAAAATGGTTAAAACAGTTTCATAAAACATTTATTTCATTTAATGACGTGGTTTCCTTTGTGAGGTATTTTTTTCTGTCCATATGTATACTATGTGCATACAAGATGCGCATGCAGCTAAAATTCTTTGAAGGTAATATTTAAGTAACCCAGCAAAAAACACGATTACCACAGAAACGAAAGTGGAAACGAGCTAGGCGATGGGAATCGCTTACCCTTTCGCCTCAAGAAGGCATTATTTTAACATGGGCATATCATTGGCGGTAAGCCTTTACCCACAGCATTACCTTCAAACGAAGGGAGAACGCATGGATAAACAGAATCCAGAGAAGCAAACAAAGAATGCCTTACAGAGAAACTAATGTAGAATGCCTAGATAAGTACATACTTATTTATAATAAATTGAAATCTGAAAATGTCTTAAAAGATTAAAATTAATTAAAATTTTTATAAATCAGTTTTTATACATACATATGTATACCGCTGTGGTGTAGTGGTAAGCAGTGCGCGCTTCCACTCCGCAACGCCTGGGTTCAAGCCCTGGTCAAAGCAACATCGAAAACAAAAATTAGAAAAAACGTTTTTTCTTAACAGCGATCGTCCCTCGGCAGGCAAGGGCAAACCACCGAGTGCATTTATGCCATGAAAAACAGCTTCTCATAAAAATACAATCGCCGTTCGTAGTCGGCGTAAAACTGTATCTCTCTCCGCTTTGTGTGACATCAAGGCGCACGGCACAAATCGGAGGAGCTCGGCCAAACACTAACATATCGTCCCGTTTCTGCCTTAACCACGTAACTACATTTTTTGAGAAATGTGGTTTTTTATGTGGCACCCAATGTGAGGTCATAATTAGAATGTCAAAAAAATAACCGTTATATTTTTATTGTTCATTTTTTCCCCTCGTATCTACATTCGTATTACAGAAATTAAGCGAAAAGGTCGTATCTACACACAATCGCAGCATATAAAATGCAAATAAGTGTGTTTGTTGACAAAAATCTAGTTACTTAGCTGACTGATCAAAAACAGTGCACATTAAATGAAATATAAATTTTTATTAAACAGAGCAGTTTAAGTAAAAAGACGACTAAGGCTGATTCACATACAACTTTCTTCGCTTTGCTTGATAGTTCTTTGCTTTGGCATATAAGATCGATGTAGGCATATGCATGAGTATGCTGTTTGAAGCAAAGCAAAGCAAAACGAAGCAAAATCTTGGGCAACTCGCAACTTTAGCCCTGTTTGGCAATCAGCTGTCTACATGTATCTTTTCTCGTGCGCTTGCATTTGCAATTAATTACAAAAATAGGGTAAATAGGAATTATCGCTATTATTAATGCACATTATTATATTGTTATCTATTTGACAGACAAAAAATATGGAGGAAAAGGAGAACGCAAAGGCTGTCAAAGCATTTATTGTAGCATACCTTCTGCGTTTCACGCTTTGTTGTCAAAGTTTGAACTGTCAAGCAAAGCCAGGAAAGTCTTATGTAAATGGCCCTTTATAGTTTTATATATGAATATGTACATTACCTCAGAACTCGAAAGTATGTATATTATTCTAGCCTCAAATTACTGGCTTTTTAATGGGAGTTTTTGATTTTAGATATAGAATTATGGACGAAGTTTATTAGCAATTAAATTTAGCTATTACATTTGAAATAAACCAATCATCCGTAAGATCATCTGTTTTTCTGACACAATTTCGAAGTGATAATAAAATTTCTAAGTAATTATTTTTAGTCACCAGTAATACCAACAACTTCTAATTCTTCTAACAAACAACAGGTTGTAGTGTTAGATGAAACGACAGGGGAATTCAGGTTCATTGAATGTGGTGGAAAATCCTTAAATAATAAACCTAAATCACAATCCACAGGTTTCATCCTAGATGAGAAAACGGGAGAATTTATTGAAAAAAATACCATAATGTTTTGTCCTCTTACCAAGATTTCGATGAGGTTTTTGACACTGATATCCACCCAGTTACAACAAGTAATTTTACTGATTCAAGCGATTCCTGTTTTCGCAGAAATGAATTAGATGAAAACTCAGGTATGGTTACTAAAAAAGGAGAAAGAAAGGGCAGGGGAATCCGGATAGGTGGCAAAAAAATGTTAACATAAATGCTAGACAAAAAAGAAAAGAGTACTACAGTGTAAAAAAAGCGAACGGTAAAATAATAGAAAAGCAGAAAAGGGAGAAACGTATACTCTTACCAAGTTGCAGTTCCAAGAAGTGTGAAAAGAGTAACTGTTTTAAGTGTAACGAAGTCACGAAGGCTGAGAGGAAAGAGTTGTTTAATTCATTTTGGAAAAACATGACTTGGGAAGAGCGAAAGGTGATGATTGCGAACCTAGTGGAAAAGCGTTCCGTAGCTCGCCGTACAAATAAAACAGATTCTAATTCAAGACGTAATAAAACATTAAGATCTTTTATAAACATATGCAACAAAAAGTACCAGTCTGCAAAAAAATGTTTTTAAGCACTTTCGGCTTAGGAGAATCTGCTGTTAATAATTGGGTTGAAAAATCTAATGATTATGGAGTTCCTCTTCGAACAGCAACAAAAGATAGAAAGTCGTCCGCAATCAATCTTCAAAAAGAAAAGCATATCATAGATTTCTTACAAATGTTTCCCAAGATGGAATCCCATTATTGTAAGAAAAAAAACAGACAAACTGTATGTCGACCTCACTTATAGCTCTTACAAAGATGTATTCAAAGCATACGAACAGTATTTCGCAGATAAAAATATTCTACTTAATGAAAAATCTTATGTATCATTTTTAAAAGTTACACACTCTGAACATTGGTTTATTTAAACCTAAAAAAGATCAGTGTGACCTATGCTTTAGTTTCAAGAACGGCAATATTGACCAAACATCATACGAAGAACACACTAGTAATAAACATAAGGCAAGAATGAAAAAGGATTATGATAAAGAAAGAGCCTTAGGAGGTGTAATAAATGTCTATACTTTAGATGTACAAGCTGTTCAATTAGTGTCACTAATAGCTGCATCATCAACTTACTTTAAGCAAAAACTTGCTGTACATCAATTTACGTTTTTTAATTTGAAAACGTCCGAGGTATTTTGTTACATTTGGCACGAAGGTGAAGAGGGGATGGACTCAAATGTTTTCGCCTCCTGTGTTGCTCACTTTTTAGAAGAACTTTCTGACCTTAACATTCCAACAGTTCTATTTAGTGATGGTTGTTGCATGCATAACCGAAATGTCACGTTGGCCAACGTATTGCAATTCATTGCAATTAAACATAATGCAACAATTTATCAAAAATATTTAACAGTTGGACATACTCAGATGGAATGTGACTCAGTACATTCAACAATAGAGAAAAAAAAGTCCAAGGAGATGTATATTCCAGCTGATTTCGTTCGAATTGTCACAGACGCTAGAGTCTCTCCAGAACCATATAAAGTACACTATATAGATCACAAATTCTTCAAAAAATTTTCGGGAATACAGTTTTACAAATCTATACGGCCCGGCTTTAAAACGGGTGATCCGCGAATTACAGACCTAAAATGTTTAAAATATAACTCAGCCGGCATGTACTATAAGTTGGATTACAATAACGATTGGACCTTGTCACCCCAAAGAAAAACGAAAATTAATATTTTTAAAAATAATTTTACTCCTTTATATTCTAATTCTATACAAATAGCAAATAGAAAATTTAATGACCTGCAGAGTATGAAAATGCTGATACCACAAGATTATCACAGCTTTTATGATAACTTAAGTTTTACCACTTAAAATAATTTCTTATTCTTTGCTCATTTAAGAACTTATCCTTACAGAAAGTGAGTGAATTTGTTTAACTTTTTGAAATTTCCTTTGATTTTTTAAATATTTTAGCTTAAATCATGACCACAACGTTATTTTTTAAATAAAAATACATCCAACAATAACATTTATATAACTACAATTCAGCATTTTTCTTCACAATAACATTAAAATGATCGACAGAGATTTCGCATGAAAGCTGTAACATCGTATCTGCTATTTCCTGACTACAAAAAATGCAGAACGGAACGTCGTAACTAACAAAAGTTGTTACAACTTCGGAATATTCGTAAATAAATAGAAAACAAAATTCAGTACATATCCGTAATGACAAAACTAAAACAATAAGGCATAGAATCTTAGTACTTTGTTTTACTGAGAGAAAATAAAAGTTTTTCTTGATTTCTGAATTCTATATACGAGGTAAAGGCAGAAACGGAACGATATGTGTAAGTGCCAATCTATTATTATTATTATGTATACATTAATGCATTTAGATTTTACTTAAAAATCGATATGAACATACATGCATATTTAATTAAGCCTAAAATTGTACTTCCTCACTCTTGTACTTCACGCCATTGACTGAATTCAACTTCGCTGCAAATTGAACAAAGCAAAACATGATTTTTATGCGAGACATATTTCCACAGAAAGTAACGGCAGAAAAAGGATTTTTTTGATATTCATTTTATTTTTCAGCTGACTACGATGCAGCATTCTACTTTGCATTCCCCGAAATGAAACAAAGAAGCGAAATAAATAAAGTATTGTAGGACATTCTACTTTGCATTACCGGCAATGCCTAAAAGAAGCGAAAAAAATTCGAAGGCATTATAACGCTATGCCCTCTAAAACACGTTATCATTAAAAGCGACTACCGATTTTTTGCTGGGAATCCTTAAAGTTAGTATACGTACATACATATGTCTGTATTTATGCTGATGCATTTCTATGGTGAAATTATAAGCAGGTGAAGTAATAAAAAAGCTTTCTCGCTTTATTTTCCTGACATGCGGCTATTTTATACACATTTTTAAAGGCTAATTTTCAAATAAGATAGGGCAAATCTTTCATCTCGCTCTTATTACTACACCTGGTATAGTTTCACCATGATGAGGTTCAATTGATGCTAATTTGTAGCAAACATAGCAAGCGCACCTCATAGTGTTAATTTGTTTGTTTACAGTTCATTGACATTAGGTGCAATCCCGTATTCCTCGGACTCGGACTCGTAAAACTGTCAAAAAATAAAAATTCGCTCAGAGCGAGAGAGTAACATTGAAAAGTACGAGATCGCTTTCTAGTAAAAAATGGTAACTTCTGTCAACTTCAACATAACCTCCAAATTTTGGTTGTAAATTTTTGCTTATTTTGGTATGTAAACACACTCAGCTCACACATGTAAATAACCAAAAATACTTTCAAATTCATTAGAATCCACTTAAACAAGTAATTAAATACTTTTCAACACGAATTAGCAGAGTGCATTTTTCTTTGGTTACAATTTGGTTGCCGAACACACTACAGCTGATCGTTTGACACATTTACCAGAATTTACCAGCAAAAAATTCTCGGACTAAAACTGGTAAGTCCTGACAGAGAGAGAACCGTATTTACTCTCTTTTTTGTCCTCTCAATAGTCAGAGAACCGAGTACGGGATCGATTTCCAGTACAATCTGACTAGGCCAGACTCGTACGGGATCGCAACTATTATAACTAGCTACAAGAGAGTTCGAGCTAGTTGTCACTTCTACCTTGTTAAATATGCCTTGCGTATTAAGATTTTCTTTCATAACCGGGGCGTTACACATTCAATTTTCCCCTTTCAATTTTCAATACTCACACTTTTTCACTAACACACTCTTCTTTATTGCTTGAATGGGCAACTTGCTTTCAATTTTTCCCTTTCAATTGAGTTTCAATTTTGCTTTCAATTTTGATCAGCTTTTCAGCATTGACGTGGGAATTTAGTGAAAATAAAAAAATACTAAGCTTATGCAAACTAAAATGTTAATCTACAATGGAATTAAAATGGAAAATGGTCTTCAGAAGCTACTTAGTTACATTGTTTTCGTTCGGGTTGCCAGATTTTGAAACGTAGAAAGGAGTACATTTATATTTTCGATAGACATGACATAAAAAAGGAGTACAATTTTTTTTTTGTGCAATTTATTGTTACAAATTACCATTAATTAGGTACAAACAAACAAAGATATCTTAGAAATCTTTTTCAAAGCAACAATAAATGTGAAAAATAAACAACTATATGGGTTGGCTTTCCAATAGGGACGGTTGTTAAAGAGATGGTGATCGAAGGGGGAGTGGACGTGGCACCTTTTCCGACCTTTTTGGAGAGGGCATGAACCGCCATTGACAAAAATGTTACTCCCGACCACCTAGGGCCCCGATGGTTCCCCAGGGACCCCTTAGAAAAAAGGGGTTTTCAATGACCGCCCTTATAGGAAAGTTTCCCCAACTAAAAGACTAAAAACTACAAAAGAACTCCAGACTCTTCCTGAATGTATGGCCATTTTTTTAATATAAGCCTTATAATTAATTTAATATTTTTCTGATTTTTATACTCGAGCGCCCTGCACCTAAGGCCATGCTTACACACCTTTTCACTATCACACTTAACTTTGCTTACTAAGAAGGGTTTGCCATAATATGAATGGTAAAGTACAGCGCGTAAAATAATAACTGTCGCACAGGTTTTTTGAAAAATAAAAGGGTTCTTTATAGATTTTGTGTTTCTTTTGTTAACTTTGTAAATATTTTACTTTAATTTTATTAATTGGTTCTAAAATTTTAATCCTGATTTGCATTTGCCAGCTTTGGGAGATAAGTACATGCGGCACAAATAGCCCTGCCAGATAGAGCACGTTACGTGCGTTCCGCTCAAGGATGAAACTGACAGTTGAGTAGACTGTGTGTGCTTGCATAGAGAGCGCCAGATTGGCAACCCTTGCGTTGACGGAACCCACGAACGTTGGCCAACACAACTTTTGACGCAAGTAAGTCCGGCAATGTTCACATTTGACATTTCAGTATCATTCGCAACATAATTTGGAAATATTTAATGGAGTATAAATTAATAGAAGCGGCGCAAATTCACCCTTGCTTATATGATAAAAGCATAGGGGCTTATAGAAACCGGTTGGCGAAAGAAAAAGCCTGGAATTATGTGGCGGGCGCTACAGGTTGCAGTGGAAAGTGGTGATTGAATAATCTTGTGAGTGTTTTCCAATGTTTTTAAAAATTAATCCGCAGTGGAACAGCGTCAGAGTCGGTGGACCGATTTGTGAAGGAAGAAAGTGGAAGAAAGGCGCCTTCTGCGAGTGCTGCAAACGACATGGTCAGTAATGGATGGAAATATTACGAGGCACTGGCATTCCTGCAACGGCACGTGTCACCACGCAAGTAATTTATGCAACCATTGCTATCATTGAATCCACTGTAGTCAGATCTTTCGTGAAATCTTCAAAAAGCTATCACTGAATTCGGATACATATGTATGTACATACTTACATAGCTACGAACGTAGCATATACTTTGAAAGCATACGTTCCAAGGAATTGATATTCAGTGATTACATTTTCGTAGTTTCACAAAAATCGGACTGCGATGGTTACAGTGATAGTCCCGAATACCTAATAGAGTATAACGGAGTTACACCGCATGATCGCCTTAAGTAATAGACATATTTTGGAATTTTAAAAATTTTTTAGAAACAAAATTTAATTCCAGCTGTCGCTAACTGTGTTGTAACACCTTAAATAGTCTTCATGTGACTACAAGGTTTTGTTTGTACATATATTATTTAAGGACATTTGGCAACGCAACGTTTGGTACCACCATAGATCGTGAAAAATGCGCACCGCAGCCAGAGCATTCCATTAATGTATATGAGTTGCAACCTCTTTTCGAATATTGCGAGGATGAAGAGCCCGTATTTGAGCAGACGCAGCAGACAGGGCTAACTACAGTGGTTCACCAATCACCGTCAACGTCTCTTGTTGACTTCCAACCCTAAAAAGAGCCAATTGTGTCCACTTCTAGAGCATTGAATCGGAAAAAAGATGAGGAGCGATTGGACACCCTATGTGGAGCCGTAAGCGACTGGATAAAAAAAATCAGATGCTGCTCCACAACCAGTTAGCCGTAACTCCGATTTTTTAAATGTTCTGGACAAATATCTTCTGAAATATGAAGAAGATGTTCAAGACAGAATGAAAATTGGAATACTGAATTTTGTTTTTAATGGCGGGCAATTTGTTGTCATGTAAAAACCGTATTTTACTTTTATTTCTATTAATTTATTTAATCATTTTAATTGAATTTGTTTTTAATGGAATACAATTTGTTGTCTTTATTTCATTTTTTATTTTAATTCTTTTTTTACATAAACTGAATAGAAAGTACAAAATGAATGTTATGAAATGAACTGATGTAAAAATTCAAAATAATTTATTGTTATACGTTTTGTATATACAGTGGTGGAAGAAATAATAGAAACTTTTTATTTTGACCAGTTTTGGCTATATTACTTTTGTTTATTTAATGTTTAATATTTTTTATAAAAGCCTAGCGCATTATATTACACACCATATAAATCCGCATTTCAAACTTTGTATAAAAATTAAAAAAGTTCGACAAATATTACCAAAATACTAAACAAAAAGTTTTAAATTTTTGGGGGATTTCGCTAAAATTTGTTGAATTTTTATAATTTTTGTACAAATGTGGATTTATATGGTGTGTGTTATATAATGCGCTAGGCTTTTATAAAAAATATTAAACATTAAATAAACAAAAGTAATAAAGTAATATAGCCAAAACTGATCAAAATAAAAAGTTTCTATTATTTCTTCCACCACTGTAAATATATATATATATATATATATATATATATATAT